GCCACTCTCTGGTGCTTACCTCCCTGGAAACTGGAGCTTCTCTCATCAAAGCCCAACTGAAGCTGGCCCCATCCCTTGAGGCTGAGTGTGAGCATGTGGCTTGCTTTGGCCAATGGGAAAAGGCTAAAGTTTGAATGGGGCTCCTGCGTGGGGACCTGCTCCCCTGGGAGCCTGGGACTGCCTGTGAGCAAGGCTGGGCTAGCTCTTTTCTTTTCTCTCTCTCTCTTTCTCTCTCTCTCTCTCTCTCTCTCTTTTTTTTTTTAAGATTTATTCATTTATTTGAAAGGCAGAGTTACAGAGAGGCAGAGGCAGAGAGAGAGAGGTCTTCCATCCACTGGTTCATTCCCCAAATGGCTGCAATGACCGGAGCTGCACCAATCTGAAGCCAGGAGCTCCTTCCAGGTCTCCCATGTGGGTGCAGGGGCCCAAAGACTTGGGCCATCTTCTACTGCTTTCCCAGGCCATGGCAGAGAGCTGGATCAGAAGTAGAACAGCCAGGAGTTGAACCGGCGCCCATATGGGATGCTGGCACTGCAGGCAGCGGCTTTACCCACTATGCCACAGTGCTGGCCCCATGGGCTAGCTTATTTCTGTCAACAACTTCAGGCCAGGACTACTAAGAGCACATTTGTAGTTAAATAGCTGGGTTTATTACCCACAGCATCGAGAGCGTGCACATGGGGTGTCTTTGGAGAAAGGAATTAGAAAAGTCTCATTACAGATCTGGGCTCATGTTAGGTGACTTTTAAAACTTCACTTTTTGGGGGCCGGCGCTGTGGTGCAGTGGGTTAACACCCTGGCCTGAAGCGCTGGCATCCCATATGGGCTCTGGTTCGAGTCCTGGCTGCTCCTCTTCCGATCCAGCTCTCTGCTGTGGCCTGGAAAAGCAGGAGAAGATGGCCTAAGTTCTTGGGCCCCTGCACCCATGTGGGAGACTTGGAGGAGGCTCCTGGCTTCGGATCGGCGCAGCTCCAGCTGTTGCAGCCAACTAGGGAGTGAACCAGTAGATGGAAGACCTCTCTCTGTCTCTACCTCTCTCTGTAACTCTGTCTTTAAAATAAATAAAATAAACCTTTAACAAAAAAAAACTTTGCTTATTTACTTATTCATTTGAGACAGAGAGAGTGAGCAAGCACTCCCATCTGTTCCTTTGCTTCTCCAATACCCACGACATCCAGAGCTGGCACAGATTGAAGCCAGGAGCCAGGAACTCAGTCCCGGTCTCCCACATGGTGGCTGGGAGCCAACTGCTTGACCCCTGTCAGGGTTGCACATTAGCAGGGAGCTGGAGTGGGATGCACAGTCAGGAATGAACCCAGGCACCAACGCCCACCCCTCTGTTCTCTCCGGAAGCCCCTCATTGCCACGCTCTTGTGTCTTGGGGCCTCTTCAAGTTGCAGCTGACAGCAACCCAACTCTGCTTCACTTGAGCCACACAAGACTTCCCTTGGTTCAAGAAACTAAACAATCACCAGGAGCAGCCCACTCGGGACTCAGACCCCTGCTGAGAGGCCCTCTGGCTCCGCCTCTCTCCCCTCGAGGTCCTCAGCCAGCGGCAGGCGCGCACAGGGCGTAGCAGACCCAAGCCACTGAGGACAGCTAGGAGGAGCAGCTGCCAGGCCTTTCTTCCTTACTGGGACTCAGTTTGCAGTGGACAGCCACGCACAGCTTTAAAGATGAGAACAATCTGATTTGAGTTCTTTTTAAAATGTTTTATTTGTTTGAAAGGCAGAATGACAGAGAGGAAGAGACAGAGAAAGATCTACCATCTGCTGGTTCACTCCCCAAGTGGTCAGCAGGGCTGAGGCTAGGTCCAGCAGAAGCCAAAAGCCTCCTCCGGGTCTCCCACGTAGGTGCAGGGGCCCAAGCACTTGGGCCATCCTCCGCTGCTTTCCCAGGCACATTAGCAGGGAGCAGGATCGGAAGTGGAGCAGCTGGGATTGGAACTGGTGCCCATACGGGATGCCAGCACCACAAGCAGCAGCTTTACCCGCTACACCACAGTGCTGGCTCCAGCTTTAAAATTCTTGATGACTGTATCTTTGAACTTGTGTTTTGTGAGTGAAGTCTGATGGGACAGTGGAGCAGGTGCCCCTGCAGAGGTTACACGGGCACCTTGCTCGCCATCCTGCCAGCACACATGTTTGCCTCTCCCGCTCCCCCACTTCCATCACACTCGACCTTGTACACGGGGTCCCCGCTCCATGGTGCTTCTCCCTTGTTTTAGTGCTCTGCTGTTACCCCCTTGCAATTCTTAATAGTTGGTAACTTTTAAAATTATTTATTGTACTTGAGAGATCAACAGAGAGGTTGAGAGAGACATGCACACACAGAGACCGACCTCCTACCCGCTGGTTTACTCTCCAAATGCCCAGAAGCCAGGAACTCAACCCAGGGCCGCATGTCGGGGGCAGGGGCTGTCAGCTGCTGCCGGTCAGCGTGCGCATTGGCAGGCAGTTGGTCAGGAGCAGGTGTTCTGATCTGAGATACAGACCTCCCACGTGGTAGCCTTAACCACTGCACCGAATGCCCTCGTCAACAATTCCATCTTTGAACTTGGAAATGGAAGTGAAGTCCAATGGGAAAACAAATTATGTGTGAGGGCAGAGGCAGGCGACCCATGGCGGGCAGATGTCCACCGCTCATTCACGAGTGCTGTTCAATTGAATTCTGGGAGACCCCAGCCACTCAGGGTGAGCACGGGGCAGGCTGAGGCCCGGATGTTGTGGAGCAGAGGTAGACCAGTGAAGTCCTGGCCTGCAGGTGCGTGGTGGAGGGGAACACGCGCTGGCTGTTTTTCCCATGAAGATGGGGCTGTTTGATACGCAGGAGTGAATGGGCTGTACACGGTTCATTTGGGCGATTCAGTCTCCAAGCTGTGGGGGCAGCCCTGTGCATGGGGCAGGACCACTGTGTCAGGCACGAGGCCCCTGCTGTGACACTTTACTCTCTCCCCGTGGCTCTGTCTGTGTCCACGGCACATTTGCATGTCTATAACCCCCCACACAATGAATTCTCACAATCAGAACACCTGTGGGTCACCTCACCCAGAGCAAGCGGTGAGCACTCCTGGCGCCCTGTAACCCACCCTAGTGCCCCTCCACTGAGAGGACCCCACCCCTGCATAGCCACTTTCCTCTCCTCACTTCCAGTTGGGGCCAGTTTTTGCCACGCGCTCAGAGGCTGCTATGCTGTGCCGTGCACAGGCAGCTAGGTGATCGCCGTGGGAATGAATGTACGCTTGGAGGAATGAATGAAACGTGAGCGAATGTGCGCGCCGGAGGTCCATCGCCACACCTGGGACTTCCTGTGAAGCAGAGCCCACTGTGCCCATTTTGCAGAAGGGCAAAGGGAGGCTCAGAGAGGTCAGGCACTGAATGTTGGAGGCAGTTGGGCCTCCCTGCCTTTAGCACTATAAGGAGATCAGCCACCTAATCCCACACTAATCTGACACAGAAAAGCAACGTATTAATGCTGGATGTGGCTGGGACCACACTCCCTGCTCCAAAGGGCTGGTCCATCAAAAGATGCTGATGTTGGTGTTGCTAAGCAACGCTGCCAGCTCTTCGAAGCATCTTTAATCAGGAGAGGCCCACATAGACACCAAGGGGAGGAAAACCTGCAAAAAGGGGCCAAGTGCCAGCCACCGAGACACCCTGGCCTGATGTTGGCCTCCCCATCCCCCACAAAGGGCCCCACCCATCATCTCTGGGGCGTGCAGCGAACTCTCTCCCCACTGTGGAAACTGCCTCTCCTGGGAACAGGCGGAGGCCTCAGGAACCATGTGTTCTGCCCATCTGGCTCATCGGGACCTACTAGCAGCCAATGGGAATGTCAGACTGGTCTTGGAGGCCTTTCCAGACAGTTCTTTCACTTCTTGACATAGGCAGAAATTCTGACATTCTTGTGGTGGACACCATGATACCCCCAGGGAGCTCTAGCAGACGGAGGCAGCTCACAGATGCAGGTGTCCTGGAGGGGGCGGCTGGCTGTGGTGCCTTGGATGAGGCCCTTTCCCTCTCTGAGCCTCCACAGCTCCATCACTGAGTGAGGGTATCACTGATTTGATGCAGAGACTGCTGACTGTGCATAGGAACCTGAAGATGCAGGCGTCCTAGGAGGCAATGCCTGTGAACTGTGGCCCTTAGGAGACCCAGCCTGGGCCCAAGGCCACAGCTGCCAGGCGCCCCATTGGGCCTGGTGCAGCCCGCCGTCCTCCAGCTGGTCTTTCTGCAGCAGCTGGGAACTAGCATCCCTGTGGGAAGGGTGTTTGGAGATCAGCAGGTGCTCTGTTCTTACTGCACAGACGGGAAACAGGCTGTGTGTATGTGTGTGTGTGGTGGGGGCTGACACTTCTGGGCATGACGCAGCTATGCCCTTGAGTCTGAGGACCTGGGATGAGCTGGAGGCAGGAGCCCGGGTGAGAGGGCAGGGAGGCTGGGAGAGAGGGAAGAGAGAAGGGAGTTAGAGACAGAGAGAGAGGCAAATCGAGTGCCTGCTCTTGCCTGCACAGCAGCCCTGCTCACTGCAGCCATGACTTGGGTGGGACTGGCCCCACCCACTGGTTCCAGCCCTTATCACATGACCAGATCTGGCCAACCAGAATCATGGTGACAGGTGCAGGGATGAACACAGGACCAATCCTGGCTGGGAGAATCTCGGGAGGATGCAAGCTGGGGCTGAGGGAGCCAGCTTCCCAGGGGAGCCCTGGCTGGGGAGGAAGGCAGTGCGCGGGAGGCCCAGGAGGGGTGGGGCGTCATTCGAGCCCCTAGATCCAATCAGTTCACAGGAATTTGCCCCTCATTAGGTCCATCCAATGGGAGTACCGCCACTGAGCAGGAAGGTGAGGATTTAAGAGCAGGTGTGGCGGGGGGTGGGGGGGGGGGGGTGGGGGGGGGTGGCCCCCCGCCAGCCTCGGGGCTCTCAGAAAGCTGGCGGGCACACAGTGAAGCGGAGGGGGGCGGGAAATGCATCCGAGCTCATCCACTTTGCACCATTCGCCTTTTTGGGAACCAACATTTATTAGGCACCGCTTCACGCCAGGCTCTGTAAGGAAGTCTATTTACACACACGGGCTCCTTTTCTCCTTGCCACAGCCCAGTAGAGGGACAGTCACCATCTTCATTTTACGGAGGCCTTGGGAGGCTGAGCCACCAGCTCAAAGTCTCAGAGGTGGAGCCCTGCCCACAGCCCACAGTCCCACACAGTAGGCGCTAAATAAGTCTGCTGGGCAAGTGCTGCGTAAGCCAGCTGGAGCGTTCTGCACGCTTTTCCCCCTGCGGCCTGGAAAGTCAGTGTCAAGTGCACCTTTGGGTCTTGAGGGGAAGAAGCTTGGAGAGGCCGTCTGCGCTGGGTCCACCCAGAGGAGCCACCAGGAGGAGCACCGGGGCGGAGCTGAGGCAGGTGCACGACGGCACCCCCTCCCTCCAGCCCAGCCTCAGTCCAGGAGAAGACCTTCTCGGGACAGGGGCATCCTGGCAGTGGGCAGGTGGGATCCTGGCTGGCCCAGGTGCTGGCCAATGGTGACAGGACTGTGGAGGCCTCACCGGGGCAGAGGAGGGTGACACGAGGATGGGCATGGTGGCAGAGTGGCCATGGCCCTTTTCAGACTCTGGCCACTGAAGGACGCTCGGGAGGAGCCCCTGCTCTCCACACTCAGGCCGGGCCTCCCGTGCGGACCCCCAGGCTCAGCCTCGGAGGGGGAGAGGTGGGGAGGAGGGGCCGCAGCCCCCACCTGGGAGGCAGGGAGGACCAGGCCTGGGGTCTTGCCCAGCTATCTGAGCTGCTGAGTTGGGGTGAGCCAGGGTTCCAGTGGGGCCTGAGCTGCAGCCATGTGGGCAGAAATCTGGCTTCTTGAGACCAGAAGGAGCCTTGAACTCATAGCACAGACACGGGTTGTGTCTGTCTCAGCCCAAAGGTTCCCTCCCAGTGGTTTGTAGAGAGATCCTCTGGGACAAACAGAGTCCACTTCAAAATAAGTACATGGGGATAAAGCTGCCCACTCTAGGCCCCTCGTGGGCAGTCACAAGATATGGGTTCACAGTAAAGGCCCTGACAAGTCCTGCAGCTAAGCACATTGGTCACCTTAACCTGCTGTTTCCCTCACTCACCTGCTCATAGGGAGGAAGGGAGCTGCAGTAATTCCCTGGGGAACACATTCCAGGACAGGCTGGAGGGAAACGACTCCCTCGTGGATGTCCCAAAGCCCTGCTCAGGGTGAGCAGGGCGGAACTCCAGACCTTGGGGCCTGGGCACGGTCAAGTGTGGAAGGTGTGGATGCAGCCCCTTCAGCCTTGGAGAGAAAGGTCAAGGACACGGCAAGGCTAGGAAAGCTTGCAACAGGAGCTTGGAGCAGAGGCAGCCTTCCTGCCAACCCCGGGCCAGGGTCCAGCTGCTTTGCTGCCTGCAACACCCCCCTGCCAGCAGTTGGCTTGAGGCTCCCTGAGGGAGGCTGGAAGGAAGTGGGGTGCAGGGTACTGCAGAGGCAGGAACCCCAAACACCCGCCAGGGCAACAGAGAGGCAGGTGACTCCTCCGGACTCGTGTGGCAGGGAGGGCTGGCTCAGGTGACCGCGGTGCAGTGTCCTGTGTGCGGGTCCAGGCTGTCGCGGGAACACCCAGCCCCGGGGCCTAGCACTCGTCAGACGCTCGCAGGCCGCAGCATCATGCGGGTGGCGCGCAGCGAGTAGCTGGAGCCCCGGAAGTACTGCCAGCGGATGCCATTGAGCTTGCGGATGTGGTGGCCCTTCTGGTAGTAGATGCCGTTGAGGTTGGAGACACCGCAGGCGTCAAACCACCACCCTGGCAGGAGGGGGACAAGGAGACAATGAGGCTCAGTGGGCAGGGAGGGTGGCCCCCTTCCCCACAGAGAACAGAGGCTGCTCAGGGCTGGGGAGGGAAGAGCCTGGGGTGGGGGCAGGAGCCCCTCTGCTCAGCTTGGGCCGGGCAGGGCTGCCGCGGGCTCCTGGGCCCCTCCTCGCCTTTTCCCCACCTCCAAGTCCGTCTCCTTCCCTTGATGGCTTCTTTTTTTTTTTTTTTTTTGTTTACAGGCAGAGTGGACAGTGAGAGAGAGACACAGAGAAAGGTCTTTCTTTGCCACTGGTTCACCCTCCAATGGCCGCCGCAGCCGGCGCGCTGTGGCCGGCGCACCACACTGATCCGATGGCAGGAGCCAGGTGCTTCTCCTGGTCTCCCATGGGGTGCAGGGCCCAAGCACTTGGGCCATCCTCCACTGCACTCCCTGGCCACAGCAGAGAGCTGGCCTGGAAGAGGGGCAACCGGGACAGAATCCGGTGCCCCGACCGGGACTAGAACCCGGTGTGCCGCGCCGCAAGGCAGAGGATTAGCCTAGTGAGCCGCGGCGCCGGCTACTTGATGGCTTCTAATTGTAGCTCCCAGCCGTCTCCCCTTTGCTTTCCGTTGGTTTCTAGTGGTCTCTCCCACACGGTTGTCATCTCTGACTCTCTCTCTCTCTCTCTCTGATGGCCCCTGTTGCTCTGGATCTCTCTCCATCTGTGCTTGCCTCTCTGCCTCTCTGTGTGTCTGTGTCAGTCTTGGTTCCTTTCGGTCACCCATCTCCCACCGTGCGTCTGCCTCCGGCCTGGCCCCGGGCTGCATCGCTCTCTCCTCTCCCTCTGCCCAGCCGTGTCCCTTGCAGCTCTGTCTCCCACTCTGTCAGCCTTGCTGTCTCTCTCTGTCACCATCTGCCTATGTCTCTGTGCCCTGCTCCTGTCTCTCACTCATGCCCATCCCCCACCCCCACCCTGCCTGTCTCTTCCTGCTGTCCGCAGGCCTGGTGCTGTGTGGTGGGGTCTGGCCGTGCTGGGCCATCACGCCTGCCCTGTGAGCCCGCGCTCGCCGTCCCTCCAGCCTGGCCTCGGAGGCACACAGGTGGTGGCAGCTTTAGGAGGAGGTGAGGCCCCGGAGGGGACCGCCTGTACGGGCAAGACCCTGACCTGCACGCACACCCTGACAGCACCAGGTGCACAAAGGCCTGGGCTTGAGGAAACGGGGGTGTCCTCCTGGGGCGACCGTGGCAGGCAGGGCCCCTCGCCCCGCACTCACCTCCTGACAGCATCTGGGCACACTTGCAAAGGCAGTTGTCGTTGTCAGCGTCGCGGGTGCTGAAGTTGATGCCCTGCAGGAACAGGCTGCTCTGGCGCCCCGCCGTGCCGTTGTAGCCACTCAGAGAAAGCCTGGAGGCCGCCCGAAGGTGGTGATAGGAGAAAGGCACAGTCAGGATGAGGCTGCTGAGCAAGGGCCTCGCCAGAGGCTCTGTCCCAGGCTGGGGTGCTCGGACCATGTCCCCTCCTGGTTGGTTTGCTCCCCTACCTGTGGCCTCCCAGGGACAAAGCACCTACTGTGTGCCAGGCCTCCCTTGTGGACCTGGAGAGGAGTGGGAATGAACATGACAACGGAAACAGTGGGGATGCGGCTGAGGCGTGTTTTGACGCCTCTGATGGTCACAGCACCCTTGATACGTGAAGATGTGGGTGTTGCCAGAGCCAAAGGCCTTGCATGAGGCCTCAGCATGAGTGGGGCTCAGAGCCGGACTGGGGAGTCTGCATGCATTCTCTCCCCAGCGGGCCTTCTTGCAACCCCAGCCTCACTTCTTCCAAGAAGCCTACCCTGACCACCTCAGCCCGCATGGATCTACGCCCCAGAGCACCCCCAGCCCTGCCACTTTGACACCTGCAGACAGCTTGGGGGTTGGGGTTGACATTTCTTTGCCAGGCTCGGTGGCCCAGGTAGGCGGGTCCAAGCCTGCATCTGGTGATAAGGACCTTGAGCTTGGTGCATAGGGAGCAGAGCGCCTGGGTTCAAACCCCAGCCGTGTCACTCCACAGCGACATGACCTTGGCAAGATCGCTTCACCTTCTGAGCCTCAGTCTCTTCTTGGGTTCCGACGGTGACAACAGTGATGCTTGTTGTATGACACAGTGACGTTGCGTGTGAAGTGTGCAGGGCAGTGCGGAGCGTGGTGGATGCTCGGCACATCCAGTGCTTGTGGTAATTTAGCCCTGGCACAGGGCCAAGCCTGGCTGGGGAGGGTGGTGGACGCTGTGCATGGGAGGGGCTGCAGTGGCAGCTGAGCCAGGGGCTGGTGTGGGAGCACTCAAGTAGGTCCTACTGGGTGGAGGCAAGGGGATGGCATGTGTGGTGGGGCAGCTCAAGGAATCTCTGGTTTCCAGTGGGAGGCAAGAGAATGAGAGGCCTGGGTGTGTGGCTGGCTCAGTCCCCAGGCCTCTCCCTCATGGCCTCTGTTTTCAGTGGGGCAGGGCCATGGCTACAGATGGCTGTATCCGGCCATGGAGCCCTGACTGTGCCTGCAAACACACAACCCTGGGCTTGCAGGATGAGTGCCACCAAGAAATCACCCAGGCAGGCTCCCTAGGGTGGGGGCAGGGAGGCAGCCCACCTGCTCCTAGGGTCCTGGCTTCTCCTCCTGGCCATTGCAGGCTCCCCTTGAGGGCTGAGGTTTGGGGTCAAGTTCAATGTGCAGCTAGATGGACTCAGGGCTGGACAAAGGCAATTGGCCTCATGGGGACACTCCAGCAACACTGCCACTCTACTGTCCCCCAGTCTCAGGCTCTGGCAGCCAGAATGGGGATCTGTGGCTGCTGGGGGAGGGGGGCTCCCACATCATGGCCCAGGAAATCCCCTCTCAGATGCAGCCTGAGCACACTCAGGGTTCAGGCTGAACCAAAGCAAAGCTGTGAGTCTCCTGGGGATCACAGTCAGACAAAGTGTGTTTTCCATGGGACTCTGTGTGAGTCTGTGCATCTGTGGCTGTGAGCATTTGGATAGGATTCTTTGTTCTTGTGTGTGTGTGTATGTGTGTGTGTGTGTTCGCCTGCGAGGGCTGCTCTGAGGCACTTCTGCACACATCTGGCTGTGTGGCTGTGCTTGGTGTGCGCTCTGTAGACCCTGCCTGTGCCCTGGAAGTGTGGCAGGTGCTCCAATGGGCCTGTGTGTGGCCCTGGATCTCTGCAGGCATCTTGTACTGTAGTCAGGTGTGGATGTGCTGCCTCTGAAAGCCACGTGCTGGTGTCTCTATGGGGGGACATCAGGCTGGGGTGGGAGGGTGTCACAACCACCTGGCTGGAGCAAGCAGGGCTACTTAATAAGAAGGGAGGGGACTGGGCCACATCAGTGGGAAGTCCCCAGGAGTGGAACTAGGTATAAGGTGCAGGGCATGGTGGTTCAGGATTTCTTGGGAGGAAGTGACTGCCCCCCTCCAGCGGAAGTCTTCCAGCCCTGCTGGGTGAGGACTGCGGCTGGGTGTGTGTGTGTGTTGGTGGTGGTGGTGGGGATTCTGGCATCAGAAGAAGTGGGTGACATGCGAGGTCCTTTGCTGTCCTGTGAGTGTGAGTCTATGAACTTCATCCTGGTTCAAAGAGAGCCAAGACTCAGGCTTATCTTCAAGACACCATGACCTCTGCCTGCAGGAAGGCCTGAATTCAAATCCTGGCTCTACCTAACTTGTAGCTCTGGGCAGGAGACGGAAGCCCGGTGCCTCAGTTTTCACATTATTAAAGTCGGTACAGTGATGCCTGTCTCAAAGCATCATGGGGAGGACTAACTGCCTGGAACGCAGTAGGTGCTCAATGAGTGATCGCTCCTTCTCCTAAACATGCCAAGAACCAGGCTGGGGCAGAGGTGGGAAACCGTGATACTTTTACGGTTTCTGATAGTTAAGCCCATCCCACTGTCAAGGAAGCAGAAGCACAGAGAAGCCAGAGCCTGACTTGCCCAAGCTCACAAAACGAGCTGAGGCAGCACCAGCAAGAGCTCAGGTCTCTGCCTCCCAGCCCGGAAGCCTCTCCACTGCACCCCAGGACATAGGACAGGCTGGGCCATCCCTTCTCCCCACTTCTGGGCCTCTGTAAGGGACTGACCCTGCATGACTGACCTTGGAAGGCCCCTTCTTGCTCCCGCAGCGTCAGCAACATTCTGACCGCCCCCAGCAGCCGGGACGTGCTGAGTGCTAAGCAGCCGCCTCCAGAGCCCGTGACGCGCGCCACAATGGGGGACAGATGGTAGGAGCAGGCACGCCCAGAGACTGACCCTTGGTGCAGACTTTGTAGCCACGAGCCCAAGAACCCCAGCCCGCCCAGCCACCCGGGGCCCTGAGCCCACCTGTACCGCTGCTCCTCACTGCCCAGCTGGAAACGCTCGTACTCGGCGTAGACCTCACGGCCCTCCCAGTCCTGCAGCTCCACACGCAGTGAGTAGGGGGCCCTGCTGGTGAGCTGGTGCATGACCTCATTGCCCAGCCAGTGCTCTGCTGCCGGGTCGCCGAAGCCCTGCAGAGAGAGGAGGCTGAAGTGGGCTGTTTGCCCAGAAGGGAGGCCATATCCCCAGCTGATGGGTTGGCCTGGGCCACTTCTCCAACATCACTGTGTGTCCAACGATCCAGCTCACTAGCACAGTGTGAGCAGGCCTGGGGTGGGAGCTCTCTAGCTCCTATGGGAAAAAGACTAAGACCTTTGTGAAGGTAAAAGCCCATTAAAAGTAACTGAAGTCCCATTTCTCTGAAGTTCAAGGACTAGCAAAACTAATCTGTGTGACAGAAGGAGAATAGTGACTACCTTTTGGGAGCACAGCCTGTAAGGGAACACAGGAGGAGGGTTTGGTGCTGGAAGTGTGTCTGTCTAACCCTGAGTGTTGGCCATGTGGGTGCATGCACGTGTAAACATGCATTGGGCCCACGCTGGCATTGGGGCACCAGCTGCAGATGGGTGAAACCTCAATTAAAACCCAATTAAAGATGGCCATCAGCTACCTAGATGGTGGAGAAAGCTTTGTTCAGTGACAGAGAAGACACTGAAAAATTTCAGCAACATAGTGATGGAAAGCCAGGAACCCTGGGAGAGTCTTGTCACTGGTATCCAAGGGTGATGAAAAACCAATGCCCTAGGCCAGAAGAATTCAGCACCATGGACAGGGGCACAGGAGCCCCCACACCTCATTTTGGCCACTGACTTGCTGTGGAAGCCAAGGAAGAGTGCCCGGTCCCCTTTGGGTGTCCCTCAGCATCTGAGCACCCCCATTGCCCTGGCTATTTGCTGATTATTCAAAAATTCAATTGGGTCAAGAATATTTACAACTTAACTAGTCATTTATTTTTCTGCATTTGTTAAATGAATGTCAAGCAGATACAGATAGTAGTATAGCTGTGTTTCCTCCTGTTTACCTTTCTCTATTTCTTTTGAAACTTTAACTTTTAAGTTAGCTTGCCAAAAATCCTTTATTCAAAATTTAATGTATGAGGCTGGTGCTGTGGTGTAGTGGGTAAAGCCACTGCCTGCAGTGCCGGCATCCCATATGGGTGCTGGTTTGAGTCCGACTGCTCTACTTCCTATCCATCTCCCTACTAATGTGTCTGGGAAAGCAGCAGAAGATGGCCCAAGTGCATGGATCCCTGCACCCATGTGGGAGACCTGGAGGAAGCTCCTGGCTCCTGACTTCAGATCGGCACAGCTCTGGCTGTTGCAGCCATTTGGGGAGTGAACCAGTGGATGGAAGACCTCTCTCTCTCTCTAACTCTGCTTTTCAAATAAATAAATAAATCTTTAAAAAATTTAAAGTAGAACACTGTAAGGCAATCAGGCAGTATTTCCCATCTTGTAAGATGCACATGGTCTTTGAGCCAACAAGTCCAGACTGAGGAACGCTCTTGCAGAACTGGTCACAGATGTATGAACATCAAGGAAATTCACCCAAACAATGGTGTGTGGGGGGCGAGAACGGGAGGCAGATTTCTCTTCTATCTTTTCCTTTCCATCCTTTAAACAATGTTTTAAAAAGGCAATGCATATGTATGATGTTTTCCAAAAATGAGAATGAAAATAAAGTCAGACTTCACCCCTAGGACATGAGCTGGAACCTTCAGAGAGGTCAGCATCAAGTGCTGGGGTCCTGGCACGTGCGTGCGCCCTGGGCAGATCTGTCTGAGGGTGGCCGACTTTCAGGCAAGCTGATTTCTTTTTTTCCTGAGGAGTCGTGAGGACAAACCAGTCCCCCTGCCAACAACACAACCCAGCCTCAGGTTTCAGGGTTGAAAGTCCCCTCCCCAGGGACAACCCTTACCTGTTTGTAGTCTTCCCAGTTCCGCTGGAAATCCTCTTTGCCATCCTCTCGGCGCTGGATGAGGGTCCAGCCGCCTCCAGTGGTCTCCATGTCGCAGAACACCTGGAAGGATTTGCGGGGGTGGGGTTGGATGGGGGGCAGCTGTGGCTCTTGGAGATGTGCAGAAGCCAGATATGGCCTGGTACAATTGTGACCTGGCTGGTGGTCAAGGGTGTCAGAAAGGTTCAGGCTCAAATTTCTCAGCCATCGCTGTCATTTCCTAAAGTGGCAGAGGGGGCTGTGATAGGGCAGGCAGATTGCTGATTATAAATATTTGGGCAGCTACAAGCAGGAGTGCCAAGAGTCCCTGAGAAACCCCAGAAGCCTTCCTCGGGGAGGTGACATTGGAACAGAGCACTGGATGAAGATGTGCCTGCCAGGTGGACAGGGAAAGGCCTGCAAAGGGAGAATGGACGGTGGCATTTGTCACGGGGGCAGCCGAGAGGACAGGAAGGGGAGCGAGGCCCAGAGAGAGGAAGCAGCTGCTCAAGGCAGTGAGTCAGGAGGAAAGCTGACGGCAGGGCAGGCTTCCCGCCCCCCGGGCTGGCTTCTTCCTCCCCATCTGCGCTCCCGAATTCCAGCCATTCAGAAATTCCTGAATTCTCCCAGAGCTGAATTTAGCTAAGTCTACTAGCACATATACTTTTCAAACATGGTAAGCTTTTTAAAAATTTAAGTAAACACTTAGATTTGATATATTTTAAAAGGAAATCTATCAGTACTACATGTAGAACACTAGTAACCCTGTGTTTATTCAGATCCTGGCAAAAGTCATGAAGATGAAGCCAGGCCACGGAATATTCCAGGTAGAATGCTTTGTGGGCACACAGCTCCAGGCTTGCTTGCTCTCCATTAAGAGGAGGAATGTAGGGGCCAGCGCTGTGGTGCAGCAGGAAAGTTGCTGCCTGTGACAACAGTGTCCCATTTGGGCACCAGTTCCTGTTCTGGTTGCTTCTGATCCAGCTCTCTGCTGTGGCCTGGGAAAGCAGTAGAAGATGGCCCAAGTGCCTGGGCCCCTGCACCCACGTAGGAGACCTGGAAGAAGATCCTGGCTCCTGGCTTCGGATTGGCTCAGCTCTGGCTGTTGTGGCCATTTAGGAAGTGAACCAGCAGATGGAAGATCTCTTTCCCTCTCTCTCTCTCTCTCTCTGGCTCTGTCTCTCTCAGTAACTCTTTCAAATAAATAATTTTTTTAAAGAGGGGAATGCAGCAGGTGTGTGAGGCGCGGCAGTGACTGGGGACACATGGAGCCCCTCTCCTGGATGCATCCAGACGGGCCAGGAGGAAACGGGGAAGGCAAACACGGGCTTGCTTCTTCCCCTTCCTCTTCCTCTCTTGGGCCTGACTGCTGCGTCACTGCGCCTCCCCCTCCCCCATCTACACTCGGCTCTGTCTTCTCCCTTAAACTCAGGACAAGCCCGGGGGCCTCCCATTGAATATGGCAGAACCTCCAGCAACCCTGGTGCCTAACATTCCAGGGGAGCTGGGCCCCCAACTCCTCTCACCCAGACTACAGGTAAACCAGAACTAAACTTCTTTGTGCTCAGCCCCTGGATTTCCAGGTTGGTTTGTTATCTCCATGAGCATACAACATTGGAGGAGACACTGCAGAAGATGCACTTCCAACTCGGGGGACTCTTTCTGGACCCCATAATCTGACCCCTGGCAGGGTGGGGCTTCAGAAGGCAGCCCCCCCACCTCCCACTTCCCAACCCCCCTGCCCCTGCTTCTCTGGCATCACCGACGGGCAATGGGCATGGCTCAGCATCCTCTGACAGCCCCAGGCCCCAGGGAGTGTCCTAACCTTCTTAGGCTCCGTGACATTGGCCACGTGGATGGTGTAGATGCCACTGGTATTGGCCCCGCTACGCTGGATCTCTGCACAGTCCTGGAATACTTCCTCAGCTTCCCTCGTGGAGGCTGCAGTGGGACAAAGCCAAGGTCAGTTGGAGGTAGCCCGGGGAACAGGGAGCGGGGAGCATGTGTGCTCTTCCTCTGTATCAACTTGCCTGATCTGTGTAAGAACTCTGTGAGGTCATTACTCCCGATTTACAGGTGAGGAGGACTGAGGCTCTGAGAAGGTAAATGACTGGTGCAAAGTCCCAGAGCCAGTTAGTGAGGGAGCTGGGCTGGACCTCTGGTCCATCTGGCTGCAAAGCCAGTGCCCTTCCTGTGACAAATCTCCCCTTAGGGCTCCACCGCCGAGCACTGGCCAGGCTGGGCAGAGCATCCGTGTTAATGAACATGGCTTTCACGTTGTGCACAGGTCAGGTCTTTTCTGCCGCATCTGTGCCCTTCTAAACCAAACTCCTCGATGTCAGGAGACACCGGGAGACTCCTCTCCCTTCACTGCCTCCACGTGCCCAGGGCACAGCCATCCAGAGAGGCAGAACTCGCTCGTCTCCATCAGCCCTCCGCTCGGGGACTGAGCCTCTCTCTCTCGGGCCCTATCTCGACAGCGGACAAAAGCCACTCACTGGTGTCCTCTCCTGGTGATGGTGGCCCCAGGTGAGGCGCCCCACAACCTCCCACCCAGACTGATGAGCAGCTATCGGGCCACAGCTGTAGGCTGGGTGCAGGATGAGCCTGTGGGGAGAGGCGCTGGGCCTGGGCCCTGTGCCTTTGGCTGAGCCACCAGGAACCCACACGTGGGATTCCCTGGGCAGCCTCCACGCCAGGGTTACGCACAGGCTGGTAATGGTTTGGCTACCCCAACGCTCATGCTTTAGAGGGCGTCCATGTATCCTGCCCGGGACTTCCTTGGGCCTCAGACCCCCTACCCGGTAGAGCCATGGTGGGATCCCCTGTCCCCAGATCCTCCTGGAGCCATTCTCTACCCCTTGGCTCCAATCTGAGCTTCCTAAAGGCGGTCCTACCCTGTCTGAATCCCCCTGTGTCCACCACTGGCCTTGGGTTGACGTCCGGGCCCTCAGCACAGGCTTCCAGGACCCTGTGGGGTGGAGCACTGCCAGCCGAGGACCCGGCTCACAGCGGGCGCTCCGCTCCTCCTTCCAAGTCCCCACGGAGGGGCTGGGCATTTTTAGTAAGAGACCAGGGCCATGACCAGCACCCAGCACTGGGCCTGGCACATAGTAGGTGCTGGTGATTGTAGCTGGAACTGGAAATGTCTTGGTCATCTGAAGCAGGGCGATTAGAAGGAGTCAGTGAGGCCGGGGGCGGGCCTGGGCGTGGTTGTCCCTTCCCCAGCCAGGGCCGGCGAGGCCTCCTCACTTCTCTTTGGCCCTCTTGGGCTTAGTAGGCAGGGCGTTGGTAGGAGAGAAGTTCTGGGGGTGCAATGGGTCCAACCTCCCCATTCCACAGATAAGGAAATTGAGGCTCAGAGACGGGTAGGTGAATTCTGGAACTCAAACCTGTTGTCCTCATTGTCACCCTTCCATTAAACAGATGGGGAAACTGCCCATGAGAGGGACAGGGATCTATCCAAGGGCATCCGTGGAGTCAGGGGGCAGGGTCTGTCTGCATCGGCTCCTCCTGGGACTGCTGTTGCCACCAACATTATGACTGCTGTAATTTCCATTTTAACCGAGGGCGGGGAAAGTGGGACCTTTCCCCCGAGGTACCCCAGCCCCAGAGTGACCCGGGAGGGAAATCAGGGTCTCCTTCCCCTCTCCAGCCCTCGCTCACCCGGGCCCTCGCCCACGATGCGCATCATCCGCTGCACCAACTCCAACAGCTGGCGCTGCCGGCTCTGCAGGAGGCTGGAGTTGCTGCTGGCGGCCAGCAGGCTGCGCTCGAGGCCGGCGAGGGCGCCGCTCTGGCGGCCGAGCAGGCTCTGCAGCTTCTCCTTCTCGTCTCGGAGGCTGGCCAGCTCCGCCTGCTGCTGGGTCTCCAGGGCCTGGACCCGTGTCTGCAGCGCGCTGCGGGGCAGGGCGCACAGCGGTGAGCCCGCGGCGCCCGAACGCACCTGCGCACCTCCCCCTGGGGCCCGGCCCGCTGTAGGCTCGGATGGAGCAGGGGAGAAAAGAGAGACCCGGACCCAGAGTAAAACGGATTGAGGTCCAGGAGAGGAAAGAGATGGGATGGCAGAGACACACCTGCAAGCAGGCACCCATGATCAAAACCCAGCTATGCCTGCTTTAGAACCCGCAGCCACTCCCAGGAGGGCATGGGGGACCATGCCCTTGGATGTACCCTTGTAGAAAAGGGATCGGCTTAGACACCCAATGGCGAGGAGTGGCGGGGTGGCTCGGTGCTGCAGCCACAGAGCGGAAGGAGGCAGCGTGCATGTGCACAGAATCGGGGCCACGCCCAGGTTCGTGGGGAATGACCCGGTATAAGTGGGAAGAGAGAAAGACGAAGGGAATTCGCATGAATGTAGAGACACCGGTGAAGACAGAGCAGAGGGCGACACGTGGCACCTGCGCTGGCCCTCGCTGGGCAGGCGGTAGGGGCGGGGTGGAGGCCCGGGCTATCGCCTTGATTTTGGGAGGATCTCTGTTGTCTGAGGATGTGTAAGCACCAGGCGCTCTTGTCACGGATTAGAAAGTCAGCAGGTATTTTAGAAAGAAGGCTTCCTCTTGGGGTGTCAGATCCTCCGGGCGTGCTCACGTGGGTGTGAGAGGAGACCCAGGCCCGTAGCTCACCGCATTCCTGGCTAAGCACCCGCCCAATCCGTTAACTGGGGACTGCAGGAGTGCACCCAAGAGGGCCGAGCTGGAGGGAAGAATGGGCCAGCGTGGTGAACTGTTTCCAAGGGAACAGAAAAAAAGAAGTGTAGAAGAGTGAGGTCTACGTTTGGGCTTAAAAAGGAGCAAAAAGGCCTGTCCACACTTGGTTGGGTGTTCATAAGAAACCCTGGAATATCGGCTCTTGGAATATCAGTGCTGTGAGCACGGGAATGTTTGTCTCTTTGCTCACTGCTGTATGCCCAGCGACTCCAGGTGCGCCTGAGCCGTGGAAAGAGCTAAACAAACAAACACCGTGTTGATGGCCCGACTGAAAGGACGCCTCTGGCCGGGGTGGTGGCTGAGGGCTGGGCCTGGGAGGGCCCCTCTCGTGGCTACCTAGTCGTGCCGACTCACTGTGCACACTGAAAAGGAGTCCAGCCCGGGCAGAAGGACCTTCTCCCGGAGCCTGGGTCCTCCCGCAAGGGCGCAAATGGGCACACACTCAGGTTCCAGGTTCCGGGTTCCAGGGTCAAGAGCTTATCAGTGGACATTGTCAATCTTCGCTGATCTTGGCACCTGGTGCCAATCAAGGAAGTGAAAATGTCCCTGGCCACGCCACTTGGGGTCTGGGGGAAGTGGAATGCGGAGAGGGACAACACTACCCGAACTGCACCCAGGACAGGGCGCCGGCGATCCTCATGGCCATGTCCCTACAGTGCGTGAATGACTGCTTTACCTGGCCCTGGGGGCGGGCCTACAGCCGGTACCCTGGGGACTTTTGCCTCCCCCGGAACCCTGACCTTGGCAGTTTCTGCTCCACTCAGCCCGAAACCCAGATGAAATCAGCCTGGGTTCTCTGCCTTATCTCTACTCTGGAACTATTTTTCCCTTTGTAATTTAGAGGGCGTTCCCCTGGCGCACATTTGCATACTGTGCAGAAACTCCCTGGCTGTGCACACAAGACGCTGGGAAGCCCGGCTGCTTCTGGGAACGGGAGCTGGAGCACGGGGTCAGACTGATTTACTTGCAAATAAGTGAATGCAGTTAAAATTCACAGGGTGAATCCCGTGATGTGCAAATTATATCCAAATAAAGCAGTCAGATGGTATAAAGTAAAGAAAGGGAGAAAGGAAGAAAGAAGAAATTTAAAAAGAAGGAAAGAAAGGAGGAAAGAAGGAGACCAAAAGAACCAAGCAAAATGCCTGTCCCTATCCCCAGCCGCTCCCTGCCCTGCCACGGCCCCAGCTCGGCCCAACTCAGCACCCACGCCCAGTCACTCCAGTCCCAACTCCAACCCTGGCCTAGTTCCATCTCCAGCTTCAGCCCAAAGCACCCCCCCCCCCCAATCCAAATCCAGGCCCCCAGCTCTGGCCTCAAACCTATCCCAGACACCAGCCCAAGTTCAGCTTCCAACGCCACCCCCGCCCCAGCCTCAGCCCTGGCTCCAATGCCCGCCCTGGGTCCCAGCTCTGACTCCAACCGGAGCGCCTGTCTGGCTGGGGCAGGAGCTGGGGGCTGGGAGTCGAGGGCCGGGGCCAGTGCTCACCTGTTGTGGCCCTGCAGCTGGTGCAGCTCCCAGCTCTGCAGCTGCAGCTGCTTCTGTAGCTTGTTAGTGGACATGGAGGTCTCCAGCAGCTGGTTCTCCATGCGCAGCGTCTGGTTCAGCACCTGCCCCAGCAAGAGGGAGGGGGTGGGGAGGGGCTCCGGAAGCCCCATGGAAGCCCTGCTGGCCGTAGCTCCACTGCTTCAGGAACTCGCTGACCCGTGGCCACCCTCCCAACACTGGCCCCTGCACTCAGGGCCTAACGGAGCTTCTGATCTGCTTCCTCCCTGTGCCTGTCCGTCCTCTGCAGGTGGTACTCCGGGTGCTCCCACAGTGTGCATCAGGATGCCTCCGTGAGCCCCACGTTCAGTCCATTGGCAGGTGCTGTCAGCTCTGCCTTCCACTTCCCTCTCCCTCCATGACTCCTGCGCTGGCCCTAGCCTCTCTCTCGTCCTGCACCTGCCTCTTTCCCTTGTCCCTATAGTCCAGTCCCCACCCCACAGCCTGAGGCAGTCTTTTACAATGTTGCCCCTTTGCTCACATCTCCTGCAGCAGGAAAGCCCCGGTCTGCCTCCACTGGTCCCCACCCAGCACTCTCCCCCGGCTACTCCAACACGCTGGCCTCCTTGGTGCATAGGAGCCTAATAGCACGGTGCCACCTCAGGGCCTTTGCATGTGCTGTGCTCCCTGTCTGGGACGCTCTCCCCAGTGACCCAGGCTCCAGTTCTACCTTCTCAGGGGGCCCTTCCTGGCCTTGCCCTAGGACCTCGGGGCTCTAACCCCTCCCACACTTCCTGCACCCTGCTCTTTCTTCAACTTGTTTTCTCCTTAGCACTGTCATTCGGCAGCATGCTATTGGTCCTGTTCATTTCCTTGCCAAGCCCCAAGGGAACAGGACACATGTCTGTTTTGTTTACGGCTATAAATAAGACCCAGGCATCTCAGTGCTGGGCACACAGTAGGGGTGCAGTAAACGTGTGACCCTTTGTCATCCATTCACTTCCGTGCCCTCTGTGTAGTCACACCTGTTTCCCCCTCCCCCATGCCACTCCTGTCTCACACCACGGACCCCTGAGGTCTGATGAATTCTTTACCGCCCCTCCTCTCCTGTCTCACCGTCAGCCTGGCAGAAAAGCCAAGCCCAGGCCCCTCCCCCAGGACTCTGGGACTGGAAGGGACGCCTTGGCCACCCCCAGGAACAGCGGTCAGGGCCCCCGAGGGGCACGGCCTTGCCCTGCGTTACCTGAGTCTCCACGTTGGTGAGCTTGTGGGTCTGGGCGGTGCTCTGGTTCAGGAGGCTGGTGCCCAGCTCCAGCATGGTGGCCGTCTGGTTCTGGACCACGTGCTGCTGGGCCTGCACCAGCTCCGACCTCAAGTTCATCTGGATGTACCTCTCCAGCTGTAGAGAGACCGTGAGCTGGGGTCAGGGAGTAGGGGCTGCGGGAAGCCTCCTGTCCCTCCCACGTGTCCCCGTGTGAGGACGCAGAGCCCCCAGGCCACCGCTACCTCCCGTCTGGACTCCCAGGAGCTTTCTCCTCAGCCCCACTGCTTCCAGCCTTGTCCCATCCCAGTCCCTCCTCCATTCGGCAGCCAGAGGGACCCTGTTAACCCCACATCACATCACCCCTCTTCCTGGCCTCCTCCCAGACCCTCCCAGCAGAAAAGCCAGAGGTCCACCACGACCACAGGGCCCTCCATGACCAGGGCTCCCGCTGCCACTCTCATGTCCTCTCCTTTTCCTTTCTCTCCACCTCCCTCCACCCCAGATGCAATTCTGCGGACTTTCTCCCAACACAGAAGCACATGCCTACCTCAGGGCCTTTGCAATGCTATTCTCACTGTGTTCCCTCTGCAACCCTGCCCCAGCCCCATCCACATCCTATGCCGCCTCACCCTGTCATTTCAGGTCTCTATGCACCTACCATGCTCAGACTTTGTATATATATATATATATATATATATATATATATATATATATAGATTCATTTTATTTATTTGAAAGACAGAGTTACAGAAAGAGGTAGAGATGGAGAGAGAGGTCTTCCATCTGCTGGTTCACTCCCCAGATGGCTGCAACGGCCAGTGCTGTGCTGATCCGGAGCCAGGAGCTTCTTCCGGGTCTCCCACATGGGTGCAGGGGCCCAAGGACTTGGGACATCTTCTACTCCTCTCCCAGGCCACAGCCGAGAGCTGGATTGGAAGAGGAGCAGCCGGGACTAGAACTGGCGCCCATATGGGATGCCAGCACTTCAGGCCAGGGCTTTAACCTGCTACGCCACAGCGCCAGCCCCCCAGACTTTATATTCTATGTTTCTATTTTATCTGTCTCACCCCTTGGATGTCAATTCCACGGAACCAGGGACTTGGTCCCGCTCACCACTTTATTTCTATGCGTAGCACAACACTTGGCATGTCATGGGTGCTCAATACATGTGTTCGAGGAATTGGTGGAGAAGCGGGAGCAGCAAGCGTCAGAGCACAGCCCCCACCTCATGCGCTCTCCCCTGCTTCCTAGGGGTAAGCCGGCCAGCAGCGGTGGGCACACATCGTCCCTTACAGGCCCGTCTGCCAAGCTCTATTTCCATCTCCTGGCTCCCTGGGTTGGCCAGAGGGGCCTGGACTGGCCAGTTGCCAAGCCTTCTGGGATCCCACATGTTAGCATTCGCGTCTCTGACAGGGCTGCTGGCTTTCCCAGGAGCAGGAGAAGCTGGCCTGGCGCGAACCCAGGATCGAGCCGTGGAGGTGAACAGTGTGTTCTGAGGCTCCGTGCCCGCGGGCACAGAGCTTGCTGGCCGCTGCCCTCCCCGCTGCACACATGAGGGCTTCTGGCCACCGTCTGCACCCTGGCTCCAGCTCCTGCCCTCGCCCTCCGTCTCCTAGGAGGCTCCACAGGGCAGCCCCTTGGAAGCCTGGGTTCCCTGGGGAAAGGCCGGCCCTGGCTGGGGGGCAGGCTCTGGCCAGTCCTGCCTTCATCTCTTCGCTCCCATCCCTTCCTCCCTGAAGAGTTCATTTGAAGGTGCAGGCTCCATTGTCAAATCCTGGAGGGGTGCACGTCGGCGGTGCCGGCACCGATCAGAGCAGCTTCTCGAAGTGTGGTCCTGGAATCAGCCTCACCTGGGAGCCGTTAGAAACGCGAACTGCCTGGTGCCAGCCCGGACACACAGAATCTGCAGCCCCGGGCTGGGCCTGCTAAGACAGGCCTTGCAGCAGAATCCGCGCTTGCTGCAGCGCGAGAGCCGGGGTGTGGGCATCACAGAGGGAACCGAGGGCCGGGGAGCAGCGCCCCAGAGCTGCTCAAGGCCTCCCCCCGACCCCTCGCCCGCGTCATCAGTGCCGCCGGGCTTCGTGCCGTACAAACATGCGCTCATCTCAAAATAAAACCGACAAAGACAGCGCCTCCATCCCAGGCCCTCCAGCTGCTCCCCCCAGTTACTCTGTTCCGATCGCAAAGCTTCTCCAACAATTCCTCTCCATTTCTGACCTCCATGCCCACTCACAAACATTGCCAACAACAAAAACACAAACCACACACACTCACGCACATTCATACACAGAGATACTTCCAAAAGCCCATGGAAAATGGAAGGAAAAGATAGATTGATTTTGCTGCAAAAATTATTCGAAATCTATGCCTGGTTTTTCCATAATCTGTATTTCCCATGAACTTTCAGGAGGTTCCTTACAGAATTAGGGGGCACTGCACACATGCAAAAACATACAGGGAAAAACATAATCCCTAAGCATCTCACTGTCTGCCTCTCCACCTCATTAACTCTCTCCAGCCCCAGGAAGCCCCTGTGCTTTCCAATTCACTGTGTTGTGACCAAGCTGAGAGACGTTGTATCATGTTATGTCCTTCCGTTGTCTCTCTCCACAGCCCCGGCAGCCGCACCCTCTCACTGGAAGCCCTCCCCGGCTGCACCGCCTCCTGGTTTCCCTCTGGCCCCCACGGCCCTCTCTGGCTCCTCCTCTATCATGCTCTTGCCCCGGGGTGGGAGGGGGGTTCCCATGCAGACTCCCAGGCCCTGATGGCTCCAGGTGGCCAAACAGCACGGCCATTCCCATGGCGAGAGCCTCCCAGGCAGCTCCCCCGTCTGTCAGTGACCCCAGAAATCCTGCCCAAGGTCGCCACCTGCTAGCGAGGTTCCAAGACTCGGAGTCCAGGGGCTTCCTTTGCAGAGTGGGGCTGGCACCTCAGGGTTGCCCCCTCAGCACTGCTCTGGTCCCCTACTTGTCCTATGGCTGCAAGTGGCTGAGAGGGGCACAGGTCACCAACAGGTGATGGTCTGGAGCCCATCACCCAATTTGCCACGCCCACCCACCCTGGGATGGCCAGTCTGGGCCCGATGGCTCTGGAGACTCCCAACGGCCGGGGGTGGGGATTGGCCAGGGCGCAGGCCCCAGCCGGAAGGGCAGGGGAGGACCCCACCCGGACTGGGGTACACTGCTCTCCGGGCTCCCCCACCCCATCCCATGGTCAGCTCTGCCCCTTCTCTGTCACTCACATGCTGGCAAATTCCCAGGCCTGAGACGAGGGCCTGGTCTCCTCCTGCCCTCCAGTTGGCTGAGCTCTGGTCCCCGGGCTGCTGCCCCTGCCCTGGGCCTGGGTTTGCCACCCCAGTGAAGCCTTCAGGTCACAGCACCCCTCACTAAATCCCCACCGGTGCAGAGAGCCAGGCCACCTTGCAAGATGGCTTTCGGGAGCACAAGGGGTCTGGTTCTGCAAACAGCTGACAGCTCTAGCCCAGCTGCGCAGGCGCAGGGTGAGGCTAGGGGCAACCCTGTTCCAGGCTGTAGGCAGAGCCCAGCCCAGTGGTGGGAGGTGCATGAAGGGTGAAGGGGGAGGGAAAGGCCTCAGCAGCACCGCCCCAGGCACAGGCACAGGGGCAGGGAGGGGCAGGGGCAGCAAAGACTTAGCCCAGAATATATACTGGGTGCCCCCAGCACTCACTCGGCTCTCACCGCACCATTTCACAGATCGGGAGACTGAGGCCCCAGTCAGGGAAGCGACTGCCAGAGGCCGCCCCCTGGCAGGGTCTGGTGTGGACCTGTGCACCTGTGGCAGGCCAGGACCGTGGGCTCTGTGTGCAGGTTTCAAATATGCACATTTTTGCAGTTTCATTTATTTATTTATTTTTGGGATGGGTGATAGAAGGGCATTGTTCAAAATTCCAAGAAACCAGCCGGCGCCGCGGCTCACTAGGCTAATCCTCTGCCTTGTGGCGCTGGCACACCGGGTTCTAGTCCCGGTCAGGGCGCCGGATTCTGTCCCGGTTGCCCCTCTTCCAGGCCAGCTCTCTGCTGTGGCCCGGGAAGGCAGTGGAGGATGGCCCAAGTCCTTGGGCCCTGCACCCCATGGGAGACCAGGAGAAGCACCTGGCTCCTGCCATCAGATCAGCGTGGTGCGCCGGCCTCGGCGGCCATTGGAGGGTGAACCAATGGCAAAGGAAGACCTTTCTCTCTGTCTCTCTCTCTCTCACTATCCACTCTGCCTGTCAAAAAAAAAAAAAAAAAATCCAAGAAACCAAGAAGAAGGATGTGAATGGCAGATCTCACCTCCTGCCCCCACCTGCAGCTCCTCTCCCTAAGGGGCAAAGGAAGGGCTCCTTCCAGAGAAACCCGAGCATGGGGCAACTGCCCCACCTCTGCCCCACGTCCTTGCTTCTTTGTTACCGTAACCCGGAGACAGCTCCCGCCTGCCCAGCCAGGCTCCCCAGCCGTCCTAACCCTTGCCCCCTGCCCCCAACATGCCATTCGCTCATCGAGCGCCCTGAGGGTGGGCCTGGGGTCATTGGCAGCCTCTGCTAACAGACGAGCACCTGGCCTAAGTCCCACAGCTGTGGGTGGCAGAGGCTGGATTTCAGGGCAGGCCTCTGGGCTCCAAAGATGGCACCTGTGCTGGGACACCCGCATCTTAGCTAAGTACTTAGGTTCGAATCCCAGCTCTGCTTGATTCTAGCTTCCTCTACTGAACGCAGTGGGAGGAAAGAGGTGATGGCCCAGGTTTGTGGGTCCCTGGAGCTATTCTTGGCTCCTGGCTTCAGCCTGGTCCAGTCTGCCTGTTGTGGCCATGTGGGAAGTGAACCAGCATACGGGAGATCGTCATCTGTGTCTTTCTCTCTCCCTGCACTGCAAATAAAAATGAAAGAACAAAAAGGCAAGATTCTGCTCTTAGCCACCGGTGGGCTGCCGGGGCAGTTTCCATGACCCCAGCATGCCCACCTCCCTTGGTACAGTGGCTGAGTCCAGACAGGCCAGGGCCACCAGCTGGGGGGCTATAGGATGTCGGAGGGGCTTCTGAGGCTGGGCCACTTTCCGCCTTGCCCGTCGAGCCCCTTGCTCTGGGGAAAGTCAGCAGAGTCTCCCTGAGGACTCCCTGGGGAGTCCTGCATGGCAGGC